ATTGTAGTAAACGAGTAAAGAGCGGAAAAAAAGAGCACAAAACACAGTACTACAAAAAGGTAGATCTCTTCACAGTTTATTCTAAAGTTTTAAACTTTAAAAAAGCAAAGTGAAATACGAAATAAATACTATTATTTGAATTTCTTTTGACTATTAGCTGGTACTTATGATTTTGGCAAATTTCAAGAAACAGAACTTGAATTTAGGCGAAATAAATATGTATTGTGCAGAAAGATGACGAATGAAAATGGTATAGTAGATGAAGAATCAGTATAAAAGATATTTGAAAAGTTAAACTGTTAACCAAAATTAGTAGTTTCAATATTGGACTATGTTTATGGACTTTCCTAAGAGGTTTGACACTATAAATATAGTAGTGAAGTTTGCTGCAGGTATCATCAATCTTACATTTATAAAAAACAAAAAACAGGTGTATTTACGTAATCAATTCGTATAGTGATAAAAAAAAACCAAAAAACGATTTTTTTTTTCGTGTAACACTTTCTGAATCATAAACATAATTAATAAACATTAAAAAAACCTTTTTAAAACTATGGTATAATAAACAACAGAAAACAGTGGTCAGTAAAAGAAAAAAAGGCAGAAGTATCACTGAACAGTTTCAAATATGGTTCTGCTTTATGCTGTAAATACAACAAGGAATAGCAGATGCTAGTCTGAGTTGGTTGACTGAACGGCAAAGGCCAAAAAACCGGTTTTTTGCGTGCATCTTAAAAACTGTTGCCCTTCTACTTCAACAAGATCATTGCTTTGGATATATGAAATGACTAATAAAAGTATGTTTTTCTGTCAACAAAATAAGTTCCTTGGTAAGGTCAACTGTTTCTATCTTTACAATACAACAATTGCTGGTTAACATATCAACAAAATACAGAAAAAAGCTTCAAGTTTAACACAGGTACAATAAGCTCAAAAAAATGAATACCTATGAACTTTAAGTTCGATGTAGGAACAATACACAGCAAAAAAAAACATTGCTTAATTGGTTCAAGTTTATAGGTTGTATGATAAGGTCAGATGCTTAGGCATTCGTTACAACTGAATTTGACAGTTGGTTTCCTAAAACGAAGATTATCAGGTGAAATCTGTTGCAAGAAAAATACAGCTTTACAAAAGAGAAATTTGTCAAATAATTTTGCTAAAAACGACTAAAAACTTGCACAACAGTAAATTTACAACAGTATCTTCTTCTATATCAGCTAAATTCTGCTGTTGAGCTTTATTTCATAAGCAGACCCTTAAACCACTATAGCTGATACACCAAAACTGATTGATACTGATTGACATCTTTCAAAAAATCAACACTATTATCATGTTATCTTACAATTCTTTCTAGTAGATGTCTCAGTAAATAAATGCTTTAAACAGTATTAATATTGAAAACATATTGATAAGACTTAAAATTTTTGCATAAAATTTTTCTGTAGCAATATTTTATTTTGTCGCTGTTGTTGTTGTCGTTGAAACTTTACTGAAATGTTCACCTTTTTTGCAACTTCAATCATCGATTTCAGCAGCTGAAAAAAAAAGCTTTCTTTTTTTTTCCATCGATATTAATTTTATTGCTTTTTAATTTTATTTTTGTTCTTTTTTGTTTTCTGCAAAAAAAAAAATGATAAATAATTTTGATTGAATTTGGTCGAACTTTTATTTAATGTTTCTTTTTTTTCTTTTTGCACTTAAAAAAAATGAGTAATTTAAAATTGAAGTAACAGCAGATATTTTTTGCTGTATGTCGTTGTTATTTATTTTTAAACAAATTTCAAAATCGACAATTAAGAAGAAAAAATATCACAATTGTCTCCTGTAATTTTTAGCAAAATGAAATTTTTTTTTGAATTTGAATAAACTGCACAGCAGATCTTTGATTTTTTTCAGTTACAGTTGCAGAAATTAGCAACGATTCTATTTGACTTTTACTGTTGTATACATCCTGAAAATTTTGAAGTACTTCTCTGAAATTTGTTTGTCATAATTTAGCAAAAAAAAATCATTTTTCTGAATTATTTTTGTCATATCTTTTAAGCTGATAGCAAATTTTATCTTTAACCGTTTCCCATATTTCTCGCCAAATTTAGTATTCTGTTTTCCACTTAAAAAAAATCGTATTTTCACACAATAATAAAAAAAACAATTTGTTTACAAATAATAAAATATCAATAGTTAAGCGACATTTGTTATTGCTTGAAAATTCTTTCGATGAAAGATTTTCAGAAGTGTTACAGAAATGCAGTAGCTAACCTAAAGAGTTGTTTTATAAAACTGTAATTAAGTAAACGTTATCTGTTCATCTTAGGGCAAAGGTACTATAGAACATTTGCAAAAAGGTTTCCTTTTTTTTTTTGTTTTATTATAACGATAAAAAGTCTTTTTCAAAGAAAAAAGGTTTTGCACTGAGCAATTTGGGAGTGTTAGCAGATTTACTTGGCACCTCAAAATTTGCTTACCATTAATTGTCGATCAACCAATTTGGCTGCAGACTGCGGTCCGTTTGCTGCTATAGTAACGGAATCACCACCACACTGCAAAATATATGCTCAGAATCAAGAATATAGTTTTAACAGCACTTTTTTTCATATGTATTTAACTTCTTGGTTTTTTTTTTTTTTTTT